ATTTCTAGAGAAATCAGTTTTCAGCGTAATTCCCTTAAATACGCTTTTCAGGTACATGCTGTAAAATTTAAAGGAAAAACAGTGTGTTATTCGTCTTGCAAATTTTATCACCTTTCTAAAAAGTATATATAAGTTATACTTTTGTCGAAAAATAATTCATCGAAAGCGCTGGAAACGGAAAAAAACAACTGAATTTGTTGGTAAATATTGACTTCATACTTTTGAATGATTCGTCTCACAATGAGGTCATATAAGATGAAAAGGTAAAATGAATGGGTATACTTATGTAAAATTTAGCGTACTTTTCAGTGGTGCCGTTGTTTTTAACCTTAAATTAATTATTTTGACCTAAAATTGGTCAAGAACGCGAAAAATCGTGAATTTTCAGCAGATTTTGCCGGTTGTTGTTTTTAAATATTAAAATTCGGAAAGAAAAAAATAAGAAAAGCCTAAGTTTTGTATATGATTCTTAATCAAAATTTTATGATCTTTCAAACTGATGTGTTGCAATTTTTTGTTTGACGCATTATTTTTGAGTTATAAAGAGAAATCCGTATGTACGTCCTCTTTGAAAATCGCCGTAAGCCGCCATTTTGAAAAACTGCGATTTGACCACTTTCCCGGTGGAATTTTTTGGTAAACTTTTTTTTCTGTCTTATTGGGTACCTAGAGACCCTATATACCAAAGGAAAAGTTTGTGCTAATTTGTCCGAGGTAAAAAGCTAGAATGACTGGACTACTTTGGTCTAAGCATTAATTAACTTATTTTAATTGGAACTATAAACATTGGTCCCTCCCTCACTATTTAATTCTGAAATATTCCTGTATTTTTAATGTGCTCCGCTAGAAATTTCAACTCAGAAACATATTTCTGGTACATCGATTTTCACCATCTCCAGTTAACATTTTCCTCTTTTTTTTTCTTCAAGTTCCAATCTTTTCTTAAAGTGTTTGTCCTTGAAGTAAAACCCAATGAACAAGTGCATTTTGTCTTGTGTCTCCTTTGAACACCATTTGACGTAACTTTATTGTTGAATCTTTGAAGAAGAGCAAAGGAGTGATCGCTCTCCTAGTTTGATCACAAACTATGAGAAAAAGCTGTGATGAAGACAAAGAAAAGTGTGAGAAAGAGCTGTTAAGGAGTGAAGTTTAAGGACCTGCATTTGTTGCATAAAATTGTTTTGCATTTTTAAACTGATCGAATCATTTCTCCTACATCTTTTTCATTTTTTAGGTGATGCACCTGCACAAGGATGCTCGTTTTCTGCACATAGGCTGTGATGAAGTATTTCACATGGGTGAATGCTCTCGATGTCGACAGAAGCTGAGAGACGATCTCTTTCTTATGCATGTCTCCAGCGTAGCCAAGTACGTGCGCTCAAAGTATCCCAAAGTTACACCAATTATTTGGGATGATATGCTGAGACAGCTTTCAACTTCCAGTTTAGAAAGCTATAACATCGGGCAGCTTGTCGAACCAATGGTAATTTTTCTTATAAATACTTTGCTCTTGTCAGTTTTTTTTGCTGAAGTAACTGGTTGCTCCACTTCTGAAAGTAGTTTGTTTGTATAAATCAATTTTACTTTTTTTGTCTGTTTGAGGCATGTAGTCAATCTAGGCATTTTGTCTAATTTTTTTGCTCATAGTTAATATATATTCATTTTCTTAGTATTTTCCTAGTTTTTCCACTTGTTAATTCCCTGAATTTGTAAGTAAAACTTTATTGCAATGATTCCTTGCGCCAGAATGAAAATTTATTTCAACATTTTTAAGTATTCTACATTAGATGTCCCCAAAGTTCCTGGACTGAAGCTGCAATGCAGAAACTTAGTTAGGTATTGCCGATGTTGGTCTCATTTCAAGCCTTTATCGTTTGACTAAGTCCAAGATAATTTCTTCTGCTCAAAAACTGATGAAGTTTTGACACTGATTTTTCGATGAATTCGTAATCAAGCAAGATTTCTACTGTCTTAAACAAGCTCAACGATTTTTTTATCATAATTCTACAATAACATGTAAAAATTACAATAAGGTATACTCACCAGTTACATAGAATCATCATTGTGAAAGATAGTAGAACCTTAGTTCTCCTAATAACTCCTCTAATATTCTTTTACCTTTTCAGGTGTGGGTCTATGCAGAAGATATTTACCGTTTTGTTCCTGGACCTGTATGGGATAAGTATGCAACAATATTCCCGACAGTATGGACTGCAAGTGCCTTCAAGGGGGCATTTGGAGAAACTCTTTATGTTCCCAACGTCCAGAGGCATCTTGATAACAATCTCCATTGGTTGGATCTGATGAGAGCTGAATCTTCCAAATTCAAGGCTGGCTTTAGAGGAATCGTTATTACTGGGTGGCAGAGGTAAGTCAGGATTTTGTTCGTCAGAGGCAAAGCCGAAAATTCCCAAAAAAACCAATTGCATTTCAAAAATTCAATTCCTGATTTTTCTATCCAATTTGGAGAAATCCGTCATTTCATAAACATGTCTTGATCTGCTGAGGTCTCTTTTCCTGTGGACGGTCAGGTACTTTTGAAGATTTCTGTTACTGTGGTACTCATTCAAGCATGCATTCTCATAATTTGGGAAGAAATTCAAAATTTATAGTGAAAAAGGTCGGGGATTTGTGAAAGTGAATTCAGACGATCTTTTCATACATGGCTGTATTTACACTGAAAGAGTCAATTTGCTGTAGACGTCTGCTTTCAACAGACTTTGGTTTACATGACTTTGTCTGGATGTCAGACTGTTTGAATTCATGATGCTATGAAGTCCCTCCTGGACTATTCTAAAGATAGGATTTGTGTAAATTGTTTTTTTCAGAAGTATATATCATTTTTGTTTTTAGTCTAACTCAGTTTCTAAAAATTGAGTATAAAGTATGGAAGAAGTAATTTCATGGAATATTGACATCAGTGAATCAGTAAAGCTTCTGTTGAGTGTTCTCAAAAGTCGATTAAATTCTTCATCTGTTTTGGATCTGACGTGATTCTGCTATTTTGTAAATAACTACCAAGAAACTTGAAACCAATAATAAATCAAAATTAGTTCAAAAGATGAAACTCTAGAATTCATTTTTCAATTGAAGCAGAGATGAAGAAAGTTTTCAGCCTCCCCAGTTTTCAAAGTGGCCTTCTCATTTGAAACACCTCCTTCTCTCCAAATGTTCAAAATGATAATCAAAACGTACAATTTCCATTCCAACATGAACTCTCTTCACCTTTTTACAGCCATCCCTTTTGTTCTTGCGACTGCTCTCTTGACCTCAATCACGTGGTTTCTGAGTTCCTGCACTTCAAAAAATAGCAATATTCTCTAAATTAGTTATTCCAAAAACCTCATTATTTATTTTGCATATTTTGATTGACAGCCTATTATTATTTTCACAGGTATGATCATTTTGCAGTCCTCTGTGAATTACTGCCGTCTGGAATCCCATCCCTAGCAGTTAACTTGCTGGCAACATCCCACGGCTACTTTAATTCTTCCTTACAACCTAAACTGACAAGTGCGCTGAAGTGCGGTATTTATTCATACAACACAGTTGGAGGAATGCACAACTTTGTGAACTTGAACAGCGATCCATTCCTGTGGGACCAATTCTCTAGGTGTATGTTTCCCGGTCATCTCTTCTTCAAATTGACTTATAAGCTCAACATGGTTGAGAAAGATGTTCAGGACCTAATTCAGACAACAAGAGCCACACGAGGGTGGCTCACTGAGTACAATGTTCGTCATAACTTTTCGAGTCCTCTGCGTCTCGATGAGCTTATGCTTGATGAGCCAAGAATTTATCATTCCGTAACTTCGCTTGTCCAATCTGCACAGGATGCGTTGGCAAATATTTTTGACAAATACACCATTGCAGAATGGATTGAACAGAAGATCTATCCTTTAATCAAGGAATTAGAAAAATTAGAAGGAGATTCGTATCGTCTGAAACAGATAAAGACTTGGCCCCGGAGGCCGTTCCCTATTTTAGATGATCTGAAGCGGTTAGGATTGAATTTAGTAGACGAAAATGATTCAAAGGTTTCTAGGAAGTAAATTTTGTTGTACTTTTTTATTTTTCCCCTATGAACTATTCAAAAGGAAGGTCTTTTTTTTACTTAAACTAGTTTTCTTGACTTCAGTGTAAAAATGCCATTGATATCCTAATTAGGAGCTACTCTCATCCTCTGGATATTGACCTGAAAATTCACCATTTGTGTGAAATTTCATGTAGAATTTCTCTAGTAATTGCACCATGAGTAGTTGCCGTTTTGTTGCTTCCAAAATTATTGTGATCCACTTTTCTGATTTTATTTTCAAAGTTCCGTATTAATCTTTCTAAACAAGATGCGCTCAAGTCAGCTGAGATTACGTCCCTTATTTTATTTTGAATTGGATTTAATAAGCTCATCCAGGGGAAGGTATTTTTAAGTGGAAAACAAGAACGAAACATGTGTTGCAATGGGTATTTATTTGTATGGTGTAGAAAAATTTGCCGCAGGGTTAGGTGAATGAAAAAAAGCCCTAACTCACTCCACTAATAATCTTTGAATGTGGTTTCATTTATCAGGAGATCTGACAAATAAGTTCACTGACTAATGTTCAAGCCAAATTCTTGTTCATTCACAGGCTTTCCTGGAGGTAGTAATTGTCACTGAAAGTGCTCTCTCACCACAGATCTCAGATCTGACTTGGATTCTTACCAAGCCATAAGCACATTTTGCCCATCGACACAATTATTTTTTGTGATTTTTTTCCCTTCTTTCACTTTTTTAATTGAGATCTTGAGATACTTCTAAGAACATCTCTCAGATCAAATCAGTATTTTTCAAGAGGTTGTGCATTAATTCTTTTAGAAGGTTAATATCCAAACAAGGGGCTTTTTTTGAAATTTTGGGGATACCTCAAATAATTATCTAAAAGTGAATTTATGTTTCATGCCTCTGAAGTCTACAAAATAATTGTAGTTTTCCTGAACACTTTTCAATTACCGTTTATTTTTTTTTCCTTAAACCGGTTTGTTGGATTCTTTTTTTCTTCTATTCGATTGATGGTATTTTAGGTGGTGAATGAATGAATAAGATGAGATTATTGTTTGATTGTCGTTGATTGTTAATCAATGAGATTATTGGTCATTTTTGTCTTACTCACTTTTTTTTGTTACATCAACTATTGGATGAAGTCCATCATTCTTGCAGCAAAGTTTAGTGGCATAAAAATGACAAATCGAACTTCTACGGTATTGATAAATGTATTCAACATCATTAGCAGCATCAGTATATTTAGAAAAGCACTTCGTTTTGTATTATTATCAATTAGTAAATAGTATTATTACATGATGTACAAAAATGAACCTAGTCTCCCTGAGCTCCAAGGTATATCTTATTGTGAAATTC